CACAGCTGCCTGCGGAGCTCCTTGTGCCGCTGGCCCCTGTCCCGCACGCTGCACCGAGGAGGAGCTCCTCCCTTGCCGGGGCTCCGGTCCCCGCTCCTTGAGTGCCCTGCGTGTCCGCGGGGCCGGTGGCCGGCGCTGCACACCCCAGGGCAGGGCCCGGCTGCCCGGGCACGGTCCTTGCAGCACTGCCCGAACCTCCCCGCCCACGTTGTGGTCGGGCTGCCCCACGAGCTCCGCCACTGGCTTCACATCTGGGTCTGAGCCCTTGTTCATGACGGGGAGCAGCGGGGCTGATAGGTTTAGTCTGGGCCGGGGCACGACTTGTTCTGGCATCCGCTGAGCAGTTGCACAAAGGCAAATGGTAGGTGCGTGCCCACGGCTGGCATCCCACATGTCTTTGCCTTGTGTTGTGTTGCGCTTGATTTGGGAAGATCAAAAAGAAAAAGCAGAGTGTTACTTCTGTAACATCAGAAGTGGGTTTTTTCACAATATCAGCTTGAATTTACATTATAGTTTCACAGCTTCATAGTTGGTCGGGTCGGAAGGGACCTGAGCAGATCCTCAAGTCCGACCCCCTGCCATGGCAGGAAAGAGCGCTGGGGTCAAACGACCCCGGTTAGGTGATTATTGAGCCTCCTTTTGAAGACCCCCAGGGCAGGAGCCAGCACCACCTGTCTTGCAAGCCACAATATCAGCTTGAATTTACATTATAGTTTCACAGCTTCATAGTTGGTCGGGTCGGAAGGGACCTGAGCAGATCCTCAAGTCCGACCCCCTGCCATGGCAGGAAAGAGCGCTGGGGTCAAACGACCCCGGTTAGGTGATTATTGAGCCTCCTTTTGAAGACCCCCAGGGCAGGAGCCAGCACCACCTGTCTTGCAAGCTGGTTCCAGATCCTAGCCTCCCTGACCGTGAAGTCGCGCCTCCTGATGTCTAGCCTGAATCTGCCCTCTGCCAGCTTGTGACCGGTATTCCTTGTCACTCCTGGTAGTGCTGGGGGGAACAGGGACTCCCCCAATGCCTGCTGGTCCCCCTGACTAGTTTGTAAACA